TTTGCATTGAATCCTCTCTGTTCTTTTACTTGGCTGTTATCTTTTTCATTCCTTTGCACTTGCCCTGTACATTGTCAGTCTCTAGCAACAGGAGGTTTGCAAGGACTTATGCCAGGAACTGCATTATATTGTATCCGCTGTGAGTGCATTTGGCCTGGAGTGTTAGCTAAATCTAAAAGGACTATAGCCTATTCCATTTGTTCTAACTGACTAAATTGTAACTTTGGCTGCACTTTGGTTATAGTACTTATATGCCAACTCATAACTGCACATATAAAGATAAAATATGAAGTTGGAGGACCTTTGAGGTTTTTGACAATGGGATGAAATGCAAAGTAAATGAGAACATTATCGACGTGGGAGTCTAATGGTCTCTCTGTGGTCATATATCTTATGCCTCTTGGGTCATTTAGAGTCTATTTTTCCTCCTACCTACTTTTTACGGCTGCTTCTCTCACACAAATCCTCTCATCCATATGGGAACGATCTGACAATAGCTGAACAATTGTTGCCATTAATACACTATAGGAACTAGGTGCTCTGCAGTAGCTCCACAGTAAAACTGCTGTTGAAATTCCATCGACAGGTGAGGCTGCAAGGACAAGAGGGATGAGTGTTTGCCAAATATGTTTGTTCACTCCAGCCGAAGGCTAAAGAGTGACATCTTTCACCTTTTCTGTACCATCAACAAACATTTCTTCCACCAAAAGCAGAGGATGACCCAGTGCCTCAGGCTGAGGTCGCTCTAGCCTCGAAGTTTCTTCCCTAACTTGATTTTACCGGCCCTTCACACAGAGCTGCAGCTGGTAAACAGAACCTAAGTGTAGATAACAAGAGTTGTCAGGTTGAAATTCAAGTCTGATTAAGTCCTATTCCTTCATCATATGTATATGTATATGTATTATCTCTTCGATTTACACACGGCATCTATTGCACGTCTGTCCGTCCTGGGAGAGGGATCCCTCCTCTGTTGCTCTCCCTGAGGTTTCTCCCATTTTTTCCCTTTAAACTGTGGGTTTTTCTCTGGAAGTTTTTCCTTGTACGATGTGAGGGTCAAAGGACAGAGGGTGTTGTTTTTCTCATACTGATATTCTGAACAATCTGTGCTGTTGTATTTGCTGTAAAGTGTCTCTACTGTAGGCTATTTTTATTATATGTAGGCTACAGCACTTTGGCTCGACCAAAAATCGTTTATAAATGTGCTATATAAATAAAACTTGATTTTATTTGATCAAAGCTAGCCAGCAGGCTCATTCTTTGTATAATAATGACAAAACATGACTTTTTATGTGGATAACGTTGGATTTAGTCTATTATATTTACTCCTCTCTACTGAAAATCATAAATTCTGAGTGGGACCAGCTATTATTAACCACCACTAGCATTTTAGATTAAATGACTATGCTGACGTTGTCGAGTATTGTATATGCAAGGTTGTTGCTCCTCCATCTATATGGACGTCCTCTCCCCCCACCGACTGGAGGTCCGCCTGGTCTCCCCTCGGGCGTGTGGCGCGACCTCGCGCTCCCTGCATGGCAGCGATGCTGTGAAATGTCACTTTGCCGTTGCTCACCGAGGCGGGGAAGTTGCTGCAGGGCCTGATCTATCGTGGTGGGAAACAAATGGAACAAGAGTCTAAAGGTCAGACCACCAGGCTCCTGAATACAGTTCAGTATGGCTGTATTCATTTTTAATGTGAGGGGAATATGTTCATATTACTTGTGATGTTGCTGGAGTATCTGTAAGTGGGAAAATAATGGCGGTATGAAGATCAGAGCAGTAATGAGTAAATTACATTACATTACATTGCATTTAGCTGACGCTTTTATCCAAAGCGACTTACAATAAGTACATTCGACCAGGAAGACACAACCTTGAAAATGGTTTGCCTTCTCTTCATACTTGAATTTTTTGACTTTATCTGATTCTGAGCAGGCCTGTAGTCAACTTTTATGTACAAAAATAGTTTTGTGATGTAATCTATTGCTTTCGACACACTAAACTTTAAGGATGCAATGAGGCTGTTTTCTTTGGTCTGTCGAGGGTTCAGTCAAACGCTTGGATCCAAAGTCAAATGTGATGGTTCACTATAACATTTGGTAGCTAAATACAATCATTCATAGAAGATGGATCGTAGTAACTTTGGTGATACCCTTTTGGTATGTCTTTTTGTTGGATCCTAATTAGCAGATTTTACAATGCTTAAACACTAAACAAATTGGTTAACAAGATAATCATTATACCTGCCAAACACCAAGAGTTATATCCAGTGGCGGTTCTAGAACATTTTACATGGGGGGGCAAAGGGGAGGGAAGAGGTCATGCCAGGGTGGCATGGGAGGGCGGGCAGTACGTGGTATTTTATACTGTATATAACCTATTTATTGTTAATTCATGCCCTAACACAAGTGTTCTTAATGCACAAGAGAAACAAGGTGTTCAGACAAACAATCGGGTGCCCCTTGAGTCCCCCAAGCTTACCTCAACCATTTTAAATGAAAGGAAACTACAAAATGTATTTTAAAGCAATGAATTAATGGAACAGGTTGTTTTGCATTACAATGTAAAATTAAATATATATTTTGTTTTAAAAAAAATTGGTTGTCTTAGAGACATATTTGCATGTCCTCACTAAGCATTATTACATATTAATTTAATATTAAACAAATCAAAATGGCCAATTATCCCAAAATGTTGCTGCTAATATAATCACATGCTTGTCAACTTTAACTGATCAAAAAGAAATTCTGAAAAAATACTTGAATTATCTATGAAATTGCAATATTGTCCCTCAGTTTGTTTCAACCCCGTCACGCCATACCATTTACCCTCCTATTAAAATAATGGATCAGTCCATGTGTGGATCAATCCATGTGTGATCTGCATTGAGGGAATTACATCACAGAAGTGTCAGTTTCTTCTCTTACCTATATTTCAGTTTTTGTATTTTCAGATTAAGATTGATAAACTCAACATTTCAACTATGTTGTATGAATTAATAATAGTAAATAATTAATAGTTTTGCAAAATATTACAATTTTGTAATGTCCTTGACTTCCATGTGGTGCCATATCTTAGCTAAACAAGGTCTCATGCCTACTTTTTGTCAAAAACTTCAACCCTGTTACATTTTTTCAAGGAAATTCCTAGTAATTATTTATATTTTGTGCCTGAGATGGGAACATGTAAGTAGTCCACTACCAGATGTTATGACCAAACATTTTGGTTTCATTTTTCAAAGATATAAAGACCCAAAAGGCACTCGATTCAGAGAATACTCTGCGAGAATTCTGCATACTGTACTTAATTATAATTAAGTACACAAATGACATCACCCATCTCTTCAGAGAGCTACAGGTGACCTGTGCAGCAACACATTTCAATCAATATTTGTCAATACTAAGAGCTGCTAGATTGTGCTACTGTAATGGAACATGTAAGGAAAATAAGAACATACCATGTGGTCCAGCTGGAGTTTCATCTGCCTCCTGCTCTGACCCTCCTGGTCTCTTCATCTCCTCCTCTTCCTCCTGCTCTGACCCTCCTGGTCTCTTCATCTCCTCCTCTTCCTCCTGCTCTGACCCTCCTGGTCTCTTCATCTCCTCCTCTTCCTCCTGCTCTGACCCTCCTGGTCTCTTCCTCTCCTCCTCTTCCTCCTGCTCTGACCCTCCTGGTCTCTTCATCTCCTCCTCTTCCTCCTGCTCTGACCCTCCTGGTCTCTTCATCTCTCTTTTCCTTTTCCTCTTTCTGTTCGTCCTGATCACTTCTCATATGTCTTTTTGCTGTTGTTGAATCACTCCTATACTCTGGCCTGCAAGAGTCTACTTGTGAAAAGCACTGGTACAAATGCTTGTATAACTTTACACGTTAGTGCCATGTAGCCTAGCTAATATGTAGCATACCATAAATATAACATCAAAAAGTATTGATCAAGCGCACACAGGCAGCTGTGTTTGGATCCAGTTTTTACGGTAAAGGATGTATCCTGGTTTCATTGATCTGGCCTCATTGCTGTGATGTGTAGTTTACGTGGATTTAATAGTAGGCTACCGCGTAGTTTAGCAAAGTGATCGATCTCCCAGCTAACGCTGTCTGCGTAGTATTTTGTAACTTAACGCCCGAAACAGCGCCCGTCTGTTAAACGCTATCGATTCAAACGGCAGCGTTTTATTAATATTTAGTTTCAAGCTCTCGTCCTGAGTAAAAACAAAACTAGTGGAAAGGGAAATGCTGATCCATAGGTGCTGGGACAGCTCGCTCCCTCTCTGCAGCGGTGTGAGCTGCGGTCTGTGTGAACGCCGCTCCGCAGTTTAATGCAGGGCCGTAGCTACGTTTTTAACGGGCCTAAAATTATATTTCAAATGATTCAATTTTAACTAATGTAATGCTTGTTTTGTTGCTTGAGAAGCTTGTGGAAATAGTGTAGGTTTGTTTTAGGAAAACAAAAGTTAGGGGGGCAGCTGGGGGGGAAAGGCTCTACAGTGGGGGGGGGCAGCTGCCCCCCCGTAGATCCGCCCCTGGTTATATCACTCCGAGAATGTTAGCATGCTGACGTTAGCATTTAGCTCAAACACTCGTTAAAAAGGCAGGATCATTTATGATCTTAAGTTTTAAGGGTATTGTTGCTAATAACTGTTAGGTGATTTGCGTTAATATGCATTTTTATCTCGGGTTGTTGCAAATGAGCTGTTTACATGATGTTGATGTATGGATTTATGTAGTAGTATTTTAGCAAAGTTATTAATTTACTGTTACTATTTCTTTGCTGTTGATTAGAAAATCTTGCTCTAGTGAAAAAGTTATATATTTCACGACAGAAGCTTATTCAAGGACTAATGTTTGTGCCTTCCAGAGCAAACATCTCATGAGCTGGGAACTAGCGTAACCCCTGCACCAAAGGAAGACACAAGTATAACAAATCATTTACCATTCATACCCAAACTTTTCTAAGCATAATTATTTATAAAGGCCAAATTACAGTGACATGAATAAATTACATATTGAAGATGTCCCAACGCTCAGCAGAGCCATTTTTATTTATTTCATTATCACATGTACAACATAACATTCACCCAATGTACTCTTTTTGTGACTTTCCTTCCCAGTGTGAATAAGGACAATATTCATTGCACAACACTTCAGTTTTATGTGGTGAGTGATTAATAAGATTTTAATATTAAAGCACTTGTGGTTTAAGAACATTTGTGTCATCTCAGGCCACAAGTTATTTTAATTTAGTCCAGATTTTAAACTTGTCATATGAAGTGAAACAGCAGAGTTAATCCCTGACATTTAGGAATAACTCAGAACAGTTTGCGTGCATCATTTTGTGCTTCATTTACTTTGCCACTTAAAGAGAGAATAGTTTGTCAAAACAGGAAACAACATCACAACATCCCTTTTAAAGCTGGTTCCTGCAGGCTGATCTTTCCTATGTTTTTTTGTTTTTTTTACTTTCAACTCCATACTCACTATTTTTCTTTCCTTTGTATCATTTTCTTACCAGCCTTTTTGTGTCCATGACCATTTGTCCACGTGTTTAAGCGTTAAATAGCTTTGCCACAACAATGACCATCCCAATGAGAAATATAACAAGGAAAGTTTTGCTAAAGATGGACAAACATTTCCTCAAAGAACTCCACAGGATAGCATAGTTTCTTGTTTTCATCACATCGTCCTTTATGCAGTGCAAAGACCTGACAAGAATTCACCAATAAATTAAGTTCATGTGCGGCATGGTTTTCAGTCTGTTGGTTAGACTCTGGTCCTACATGAGCACGCAGCTTTTGACCCGGTCCTTTCTAATGGCGGGTGTTTGCTCAAGAATCTCAGTCCGGGGTGGCTGCTGGGAAACCCGCTTGAGTCCGAGGCGCGAGCCAGCACGCTTCATCTGGGGTCGATTGATACGGGACACAGAGGCAAGCGTGGTTACGTGGAAAACATCACGGACGCTGTTCTCTGAATACTTCGAGGTGCACTCTGTGTAGGCCACTGCGCCAATCTGCCTCGCCAAAGTAGTTCCCTAAAAACACAGGAAAATATAAAATATGAGGTTGTTAGGACAACATGTAAACATGAAAATGAAAAGAAGCAAATCTAGCAGATAATTTGCAATATTAGCATTCATTTCCAACTGTTTGTGGCATGAGACAAATGTATAATCAATATTTATTATCCTTATTAGCTCTGGTTTGGGTCTCCACCAACTTCTCAGAGAATTGCCTGGCTCTTTAGCTGCTAGTAGCTAACCTACAGTAGTTCTCTGTTTGTTACTCCATTTGGCAGGTAGCATTTCCTCAGTCTTTGCCTGCTGCTCATCCTACTGTTTCGGGAAAAACGGTTGATTAGAAAACTGAGACTGAACCAAAACAGTGTATCTCCCTGTAGGAAGACAACAAAAGGTTAATGCCTGTAAAATGCTACACAGAGCGAGGTAAACCGCCATCAGGTCATAATGCTTTGTGGTTTCAATATCTAAAAGAGTCTCCTTTCACATTAGATTTAGTTATTTGATCCATTTTCATGTTCTTGTAGTTTTTAATTCAAACATTTATCCAGTCGTGTGCTTTAGTTTGTGTTTGTTTGTTGTCCAAAAGAGGGTGATTCACCCAAAGAGCTGCTGAGAGCTAGTACTTAGTGCAAATTGTATGTATGTGTGTGAGAGAGAGAAAGGGGGGGGTCATGTGGTGGCAATGATGCTTTTTGCATTCTTAAATGTCCTTAAACCATGTTGAACCTCTGGCACACTGTTGAAAGCATCTTGTTATCCAACAGGGTCAAAATTAAACATTTCCATTTGGTTTTTGAAAGCCATACTCTGAGTGCTCCAATGCAGAAACTGTGAACTTTGCAACCCTCTTTTACCCTAATTTACTATTTGTAAATGCTGTTAGATCATCCCTACCTTATAATTTTGTGGATATCAGACCCTTCGTCTTGTGAAGTAAACACTTCCCTCCTAATAAAAGCCTAAGCTCAGAGAAGTATGATAGCTAGCTGGGGCATACACAATCTAAATATCCTCTACACAGCTATGAAATATTTAAGGCCTATCTGTGTAACTGTAAAATTAAAGTGTAAATGCTCAACTTATTCCCAGTAGTGGTTATATCACTGTCTTAAATCTGCACTGGTTAAAATGGTATATATGGTGCTTTCATTTTGCTTACCTGTCCTCCAAGAACTGTGTTTTGGTGTTCCAGGTAGAAAGAAAGATTGTGTATACTTCTTTTAAATGTAAAAATAGCACTTCCAGCTTTCTCCCTATCTCTTGAGTTTATTTCATTCTTTCTTTCTGGAGTGTCATCAATTGGATTCGTCGACTTCTTTGGCAGTGAAACATCAACACGTTGTGACAATGTGGGTGTGCAGCCATCAGTGTTAGAGATGTTCCATATTGAAGGAGTATCTAGTGGTCAGCTGTGATAATAATATCCTTATCTTATGAAAAACATTAAAGACTGTAGCTGTGCTTCCAGGGAGGCTGCCTTATCGTTGCATTAATGGAAACCTTCCAACACTTCAAGTCTGTGTTTTGACGCCTTTAAGCCGATTACAGCAGTAGTCACACAGTGCGGTTTATTCTTGCGAATGCACTTTCCCTGGGGGATCAGCTGGTCAAGAGGCTGAAATGTCAAGGTCACAGTTTGTGGCTCTTTGGAGTGCAGCTTTTTGAATGCATCAAGAAAATTCTAAAGCTACATTTTCTTTTTACAAATCCAGCTATTTTCAACCTTTTTTCTATTTCTTGTACAATACTATTAAGCTAATGGACACACAGTGTCTGCAGGGTTTCACTGTTGATTGTTACTTTGTATTCATACATTTAGTCAAAATCATGTCATTTAAATAAACACAAGACCTTGTTTTCAAACAGTTTTGACACATTAGGAGTGAACTGAACAAGTCATTGTTTGGGTGCTTTTGGGAAGATTTTTTCAAACTTAAAAAAAAAAAAGATTTGGGCAACCAGTGCCTTTATTTATTGAGAAAGAGGGCCTCATTACTGTACAAGGGCCACCAGCTCTACCAATTGAGCCTTAAACGTCCTTTATGTAAGACTGTTCTGGAAATCTATAGTAAACATCCAGCCAAACAAGTTGAAAGTGGCCACAAAGGGTGGACTAGAAGAAAGAAAGAGTTTCAAAGTTCAAAATGGCTGCTGTTAAAATGTCAGGAAAACATTTGCCTCAGCCAAAGGTTTCAGTTCATGTTCATGCTAAATCACTTTATCAAGAGAAAGTTTTCGACTAAATTTGATGCGATTACTGACAGGAAAATGAGGGCAGTTACCTTTGCTTTGTCGGAGGTATGAGAACACATTATTATGTTGACAAAAGGGTGCCAAGAAGTGTGAATTTACATTTACATGAAAATAGGCTATTAAAATTCATGCACGCCACTGTTCATCACTCCAAGACACAAACAAAACAATTGTATCATCGCACATCCGGCTGTTTGTCTCTAGCTCCTTTATTTCCCTTATTTTCTCCATTTCTATGAAAGTGATGATCTCTAAAGTAAATGTGATTTTCTCAATTCATTTTCAAAAGTTTTGTTTGTGTGCACAGGAGAATCAGAAGTTGATGTCATTTGTGTGGGATGATACTATTAAATGTGTGAATCAGTGTTACTATAGGCAAATGTAAATCGCTGCAGTGGAAAATTACAAAGGACTGTACCAACAATATCTCATAGGTGTTTCAAAAATGACATTGATAAAATCTGTTAAAACCATACTATTCAGTTCTTCACACATACCAAAGACTGTCGCATTGTTACACTTTGGTAACAGAAGCTGTATGTCCAAGCTGGATTTGACAGTGTTGATGCCAACAGATAAAAACAGATGAGTGTTGTTTTGTCTGCACTCCTCACCTGTTCGTGGGTGACGGGGATGAGTCTGTGTTTGGAAAGCTCTCTCATGACATTGAGGTCTGTCCTCATGTCCAACTTGCAGCCAACCAGCACCACTTTGGCGTTTGGACAGAACTCCTGCGTCTCCCCCTGCCACTGTATATAAATAGACACATACATATGAGTGGAACATTATGAATCAGACACAGGTTCAAATGAGGATATCGGAAAAGGTTTTCTTTCCATTATGCAGAAAACAATTTCCCATCCCCTCCGATACTCACAAAAAGATGTTCTGTTAGCAACAACATGGATGCTCATGGTTATAAAAGCTAGAAGAAGAAAGAGAGAAAGACCTGACTCAAACCATCAAACACTTTCTCCTTATCGTTTTCTTTCTCTCTGAGATTCTTGTCATTATCTCCTCACACCACGGCACAGACACACACTTTGAGCATTGCTGCTCCATTTGTTCTCCTTTTACAAAGAGCTCTTTTCTCCCGATGCCTGTGTCTCTGCTGTTACAGGCTCCAGTGTGTGGTGCAGTTGTGCAGAGTGAGCTGTTGCCTTTCAATGGGCCGCTCCGCCGAACAGTGTGCAACTCGTGAATAGCAGCAATTTAAATGAGTCACAAAGGACCCATGGGAAGAGCAGCTTATTGTTTGTGTTAATATTCAGAATTGCTAAGAGTTTTGTCCGGGATAAAGAGCAGAATGAGAGCACTCGAAGTTTATAAAAAGATAATAATGAAGGCTGGTTATTTTTGGGTAACTTGGTCTTCAACTGACGTTAAGGGAGGCTCTTTTTTAGACATTTATACCAGGAAGAAAACAATGCAGCTAACATCATTTAAAAGTTAAAGAAATGTATGGAATGCAAAATGTTGTTATGGGTTGAACTTCTTGAAAGGTCGTTTCAATTATAGATGTTTTTAGTTGCTAGTTAAATATTCATAAAGTGGGTTGAGTTACACTCTTAGAGAATTTGTACTCATCATCTATTTTTGAAAGAATTGGGTACATCAACCACCCGGTTCTTAAGCTCACTAAAAACTTGAACTGGTGTGTATGAGTCCTTTGTGCATCGTCCCTATGCTGTGCACAAATGTTGTTGATGTACTCTATTTATTCTCACTGACCCCAGTGGTTGGTAGAACCTATGATTACAATTATCCACCCTTTCATCATCAGCCAGCAGGTTTGTTTGTGTTCGTCATCCTCTGCTATTGTGCTTGAAGTATTTGTTCAGCTTCTGGACTTCATATAGTTGAAAATGCTGGTGATGGTTTCTCTTATCATAGCTTTCATAATCTTCAATATTCTCTCAACAAATAACCTGATACTTCGATTCAAACAGGCAAGGGCAGTAGAAAGACGGAGAGGTGATATTAAGGATGAGATGCAGCAATGTTGGCAGGCTGCTAGTCAGGAAGTTATGATGAAAATGTGAGAAAATGTTGCCATCTGCAAAGTTGAAGTGTAAAAAGAAGGTGATAGCCGGGTAGAGGCTGGGATAACATCTGAGAGAGCGTAATGCTAGATGAGAAATCTTCTTACATTGGAGATTTGAGAAGAGATTGGTCTGAAGAGAACAAAGGGTATAAAATGAAAAGAGGAAGTGATAAGAGTCAGGGGGTATTTTTGAAGCTTAGCCATAGTGAGAAAAAATAGCCATCTTAGAGGAAAATGGAAGGGCAGAAGAGGTTGTTAAGCTTTCCAAAAAACGGCAGAAGAAATAAGATGTGGGCTTTCAATGTCAAAATAAATGGAAACAAGTCATGGTGGCACATTGCAATCCTTTGAATTGTCCCTAAACTTTTCATAGTGACCCTTCAACATGTCACTGTGGCATGCATTGTGAGATCAGTTTATTCACCACTATTACTAAGGTCATCTAATGAGGTCAAAGTTCAAGTTAGTTCTCAAGTGGACCCCCTGTAGGTGTGAGAATTTGTCGAAGATAAATGTTTTGGTTTTGTATTGATGATGTCATTGATGAGTGATCGTGCAGACTCCAGGAATGTCTGCGGACTGGGGAGGTCAACACATGTTATATGTTCAGTCAAAATGAGCATGTATCAATAACTAAATACGCTACGAGTTGCAAAGCAAGTCCTTAAAAACGTTATGTGTGCCTCGCAGTAATTACTCAATAATTGGAAAGATTAAAATCGACATCAAAGTATCCTTTAATGCCGCTCTGATGTTTCCAGTCGTGATAAAAAGCAAATGTTCCTTGAAAACTCAGCTTTGTCAGGGAAAAATTAAACAGGACAAATTCACACTTCTGTTAATGCGTCACTGACCTTTTTGAGCACGCTGTCCAGTGTTTCTGGACGGCTGATGTCGAAGCAGATGAGGACAGCGTCTGAGTCGGGATACGCTAACGGGCGCACGTTGTCATAGTAGGTTGAACCTGTAGGCGAAAAAAACACATAGAGATGACCAACGTTTCCAGGTGGATTATATGTTGTTTTTTTATATCACAAAGTGAGTCATTGCAGAGCACCTTTGGCGGTAATAACTATGATTTAATGTAATTACCATGAACTCTGCAGATTACAATGAGTGGGTGTGATTCATTGCTTTCGAACAGAGAGGCCTCGTCCAAAACCCCTGGTCTGTTCGTCCGACAGTCTTGAATAAGCCAACAGACAGACATGTGACAGTGATATAATGAATGGCTCAAACAAAGCGTCACCTGGCATTTCAGAATGGCATGTTTTTTTGTCGGGGGCCCGGGCTGAATTGAGCATTGTGACCTGGGCAAGGGGACACATTCCTGTCCATTAGGGACAACATTCCCTCTCCTTTTCCCCCCATTGTCTCCAACACTATGTGGTTTTGTCCCTGTGAGCAGGGCTTTGGCAACTTAACAAAAACTATGTTTGACAGAAAAATTCCCAAAGAACACGAGTAAATGAGTGCTGCACAAACATAAAAACAATTCACACATTGACGTTGTTTTGAAAAATACCCAACACTGAAATTCTTCAAACTGAAGGAGAGTCAGTATGTTGGTGTATGTCAAAAAGAGTTAGAGATGTGTATGTATTAAATCAAATGGACACTAACTCATATAAATCCAAACTTGACTTTAACTAGTTGGTTGAAGCAGAGACATTTTTTGTGATCCAATTGTTGTGGATTTCATTTAATTTCCAGCTCCTCAAATCCATTTAAATTATAAATATATCACATCACTGAAGCTAAAGATCTTCTAACTTATACTGCGCCTTTTATTTGTTCATGATATGGAAACAATTTTACAGTTTAGGTAATAGTTGTTACCCCTTAATTACTTTTTGTTCACCTTCCAATGAGTTTATTTTAATAAACACACAAACATTGAATTTGTTAAAAACCTGCCTTGTGTTGCATTCAGTTTTTAGATGTCGAATCCGTGAATCAAATGTAATCCTAATCAATTACATATATGGCACAATTATTAAGGATTTTTCTTTTTATCTACCAAGTTATTTTGAATTTTAATTGCACAACAGCAACACACCTGGAGGGTAAAACACAGGTACAGAACATGTGTCCAAAAAAGCAGCTATATTTACCAGAATTTGAGCCATTCTCTCAAAACCCTGCCCCTAAGCAGACCACGTGTTTGTGCGTGTGTTGCTGTGGTCAGAAATGTCAAACTAAAGGCCACAACCATTTCCCTGCGTCTCTCTGACTAATTATTGCTCCTGGGTTTCACACATACTCTATTCACACACACACACAGACACACACACATGATCTCTCTTTCTCTTTGGTGGTTAAGCTTTGTCTTGGTCCAAGTGTAACACAGAAGATGTGGATTATTCATTTGATAAAAAGGAGACAGAGTGAGGGGCTGTGTATCCGACGGTGCCCATAAACCACCCGTAGGTCTGCACAGTTTACACATGAGTGAACCGACAGATGTAGCTCAGCTTCACACCGTCAGCTCCACCTCTGCATCAGACGGCAGCTTTGAACAACATAAAAAGTGTCAGCCTTTGTGAAAAAGAAACTTCAGTTGATCCTCTGCAAGTCTAGAAAGTTATTGCCATTTTGAGAAAAGTTTTTGGATGTTACTAACAAGGTTTGTGCCGATGTTATTAGTGAAGGTTCATCCTTGAAGTCAGTGTTTCTGTCTTTGTGTTAAACAACCACCCACCTAAAACCATAAAAACTATATTTATGAAATGTCAAATATGTCTTGTATGTCTTAAATGATATGATGAATTGGAAATGGGGGACCCAAACAAGACGAAAGTCTTTCTCTGGTCTGCATCCCCTTAACAATTGTATGTTTTGAGCTGTACTGTACTGTACCCAATATACAAGCTGTTAATAAACTTTTCAATCAATCAATCAATCAAGTCCCCTCCCTACAGGCCGATCATGCAGACTGCGTGGGGCCTCAACTTGCGGAGGGTGCCTCAACCCCCCCCGTCGATGCTCGCGAAACAGAGGGCCTCATCATAGAACTTTGCGTGGGGCCTCATGTTGGCCAGGGACGGCCCTGTCGCCACCCGTTAAGCAACGTGAACTGGTTATTAAGCAGCCCGTCTATCAAGTTTGGCCGATTGCTTTCCCCCGGTGTATTCAGTTATCTGGTACTCCTTCTGCAGCTGAAGTTGTTTATTGTTTTGCCAAGTCCTCCTCTTCTGCTCAGTCTACCTAGCCCTTCCAGAATAAACAAGCATCTATAGAGTGGTGCAGGGCTTTCGTTTGGGTCATCAACCATCCCAACTACTTACAGGTAGATTGTGAAATACCCATGTAATAGTAGATTTGGGGAAATATGTTTCTTTCTTTCCGTCTGTGGTTATAGCTAATCAATATTTTCATATTAACAATGGATCACAGTTATGAACCCTCAGAGAATAAAGATCCGACTGCAGTTTCCCTAAGTTCTACAAAGTGCTTTATCGTCTTTTAATGCATTAGTTTTGTGGCCTGCATCTTAAATGCAATGGTTCCCTCTCAACACACACATCAGCATTTTCAGCCACATCAGGCAGCTGTTTACAGTTAAAAGGTCCTGATGAACCCACGGTGCACTACCAGCTCAGCACCAAATGGCAGACAGCAAAGTTAGTTCCTAGCTAAGATAAGATAAGATGCTACTTTATTGATCCCAATTTGAGAAATGTTTGAAATGTAGTTGAATAGTTTGTATTCAAAAGAGCATTCAGCAGTGAAGAGTTCGATATTTCTCTCAGGTGTTAGTGGAAATAAAGCTAAAATAGTTCATATTGAACTTACATTATGTGGCCAGAAACACCACTCCAAATTAGCTGGAAGTATAGGCAACTTTTACAGGTTTGCAAAACACCTCAAGAGTTGATAATATGTCAGTAAAATTACCAAAGATTCTGTTTTATTACTTTCTCTTGATCCATATTATAGCACACGAGATGAGACTGATATCAATATTCTCATCTTTCTAAATGTATTCCCAAAATGTTCCAAAAACTACTCAATGCTCCAAGTGTCAAATTAGTGCAGAATTAAACTAATGATCCTCAGAGTCAGTTGGATCTCATTAACAATTGAAATTATAATAAATCATTATTATCATACTAATACATACAATATGTTTAAATGGTTAAATTCTGCAAATATAGGAAATCATGAAATCACTCATGCTTGCAAATTAAATAAGCTCCCTCATAAAACTTGCATTAGCATAATCTTGGATATTGGTGGTGCTTAGTTGGGTTGGCTCTGTATATCTCACACACACACACACACACACACACACACACACACACACACACACACACACACACACACACACACACACACACACACACACACACACACACACACACACACACACACACACACACACACACACACACACACACAAGCCTTGAGGTTCCCTGATGTCAACTAATCCATGTTCAGCACTGGAGCAGCAGCTAATGTGTATTGATCTGGGAGCTTGTTGACCCTCTCTGGGACCTGTAGTACGATGCCCCTCATGGGAGGATTCCTGCTGGTGTGGTAGCGGCTCAAAGAAACTTCAGCCCATCTGTCTCTGTCTAAAAACGTCTGATCAAAAAAGCACTCGGCCAACGGAGTACTGCATGTGTTCAGCTATCACAAAGGACAATGAGTGTCATTGAAAGTGTTTACAGCTTTCAGCTTTTTTAAACTCAAACATGCAACAGATCACATGCAAGTGTATGTTAAAATAAGGCCATTCGAATGTAAAAATGTAGTCAGATGCGTGGCTGCTGCACAGCGTTTGGCACGGTGACGTACAACAGTGGAGACACACACTGGGACTCCACATGGGGTTGTCATGCTTTGGATGTTTGATCCAAACAAAAAGCTGTTTGCTATAATCTCTTGTCAGTGCGGTTGTTCGCAACTTGGCCGTTTACTGTCCATGCCCTCTTGTCATTTTATGCAATCCACTTGTATGGTGCTTTTTACGAATATATCTCTTATATTGAGTGGTTGTTTGGAGAGGTTTGCTTTCTATAAAAGGGCTCATGTTATGTCTGAATTCTTTATCGGAGCTACACCGAGTTTCTCACAGTATTACATGTTGTAGTTTCATGAAGCCAATTGAACTACATGCCTGGAAAACTGAAATGCCCAGAAGCCGGTGTGTAATCCATTTTAATGACATGACACAGGGCTTTGTTACAGGAGTGGACAGAGTTGTATTTCCTGTGCCTGTGACTAACATATGATCCCTTAAGTGAGATCCTTTAATTCTGCCATTTGATGTCAATTGACGCCCAAAGCAGACACTGACATTATCCCACAGACAAAATAAATACTTGTGTATAGGATAGTCAGATCCAGGGAATGTATGTGATGAAATTGCGGCTTTTCTGGAGAGTAGGGCTGCAACTAACAATTATTTTCACAAAGAATCAGTTTTCTATGATATGAAACAAAGAAAAACAGAGCATCCTTCATTTAGAAGCTGGTAATGAATAATATATAATGTCGGTGTTGCTATTTATGATTGGACTATACATTGAAATTATCAACATTGTGAATCTCTGATGTCATAGTGTTCATCTAATAAATATTCCCATAATCTAATCCCATAATTACACTGGGAATATCAACTACCACAAATGACATCTAACTAGTTTTTTTTACAGAATGTTTTACCATTTATACTTTAATTAACACACTTAAAAAAAGACATGATCCACACTGAATCTGCTTTAAATATGGCCTACGCCTTTCAGTGTATCTGTCCTTAGCATAAAAGCATTACAAAAAAAATTGTAATCTTCTGAAAAATCTAATAATAAATTAAGCATAAAACTAGACTGAAATCAATACAAGCCAGAATCCAAAGGCAGTTCATGTATCAACGTTTTAAATAACTAACAAATCCTGTACTTTATATTTCATAACAGAGAAACGTGACTGAATATTATTAAAAAAGCCCATTTTGTC